TAGGTCGACTTAGGAGTGAAGGTCATTTTTTTAAAATAGTCCGGCTCAGCCAGGGAGCGAACCCACGAACCTTCCGATCCGCACTTGAACGTCTAGTCGCTAGGCCACGGCGACTCCCCATATGAACGTACAGCTAGTTGTATAGAAAGAGACTCCTGTCCAAGATCCACAGCCATATGTGTAACATGCAAGAATCACTGTTCTAACCTCATATGACAAGCATTTCTTGCATAAGATAATAATATGTGTAAACTGTACTTTTTGCTGGCATTATTCAGTTTTTTATTTCTGTATCATCGCCGGTGGCTAAGGGGTCTGTAAAAACTCTGGAATAAAGTTCTGGTTGTTTGTCCACTTCTGGAGTTTGTTCCAGCACTTACGTTTTACGTGCATATCCGTTTTACAGATATGACTGTTAGTTACTTGTCTCTCATGCAGATGCGTACTGGTTCCTCGCCTCTCGGGTAGATGCACTGCCACACTTTGAAAGAAACATCCCTGATTAGATCGCCACCTTCACCATGCTTTTTGGGGGAGCAGTGGGTCCACTCTCCCCCCCTCCCTGCCTAAAAAGGCCCCTGAGCCTATACGAGAAGCGCTGATTGTGACAAGGATAATAGCGTCGAACCGTCAGAAAGCAATAGCAAACTAGTGAACGTAAAATTGCCTAGAAAAACAATACAACATGTTAAATGCTAGGATAGTTTTACAACGTCAGGCTTGCAACTGTTATCTCTGATACATCTTCGATCTGATGTTATTCTTGTAAAAGGTAAATAAATGTAAAGTAAAGGTAAAGTCGGGAGATGTGAACCAGCGTCACTGCACACGGTTATAAACCATAAGTGCTCTGCCACCAGTACGGACAGCTAATAAGAATTGTCCGCCTGTGTCGCCGTTCGCACGTAACTCTGTAGCTACAGCGACGTTCCTCCATTTACCCCAGAGTATCACTCTGGTACCCATTCCCTAGAGGCTGGGTGAACCCCGGGAACCGCCCGGTTTCAAACACCGACCGAGGGCTGCAGGTATTCTTGTGTCTAGATACTTGAGCTTCTGTACTTGCAATAAACAATACACGCATACTGATAATCAAACAGCGTTATGGTGAACTGCTGAGATTTTCTTGCACCGTACAGTCTTTGGAGGGATTCACCACAGTATAGATTTTGGTCGATTCTCTATTCGTTTGACTAAAGATGCGTCCTCTTGCTTCCGGCGAGAGATGGAAAAAAGATCTTGGTCGATACTCAATTCATGTGACTGGTGATAGTCCTCCTAATATCTTGCGGGAAGTAAACAGAGATTTAGGTCGATTCTCTATGTTTTACTATTGTCTTCTTAATGTCTTGTGAGAGGTGAAAAGAGTTCTTGGTCGATTCTTCATACGTTTTACTGGTGTGCTTTTGATGTACTGCGAGTGGTGAAGAGAAATCTTGGTCGATTCCATATACATTTTATTAGTGTCCCCTTGATGTACTGCGAGTGGTGAAGAGAAAACTTGGTTGATTCTATATACATTTTACTAGTGTCCCCTTGATGTATTGCGAGTGGTGAAGAGAAATCTTGGTCGATTCTATATACATTTTATTAGTGTCACCTTGATGTATTGCGAGTGGTAAAGAGAAATCTTGGTCGATTCTATATACATATTACTAGTGTCCCCTTGATGTATTGCGAGTGGTAAAGAGAAATCTTGGTCGATTCTATATACATATTACTAGTGTCCCCTTGATGTATTGCGAGTGGTAAAAAGAAATCTTGGTCGATTCTATATACATTTTATTAGTGTCCCCTTGATGTATTGCGAGCGGTAAAAAGAAATCTTGGTCGATTCTATATACATTTTATTAGTGTCCCCTTGATGTATTGCGAGTGGTAAAGAGAAATCTTGGTCGATTCTATATACATTTTACTAGTGTCCCTTTGATGTATTGCGAGTGGTGAAGAGAAATCTTGTTCGATTCTATATACATTTTACTAGTGTCCCCTTGATGTATTGCGAGTGGTGAAGAAAAAACATTGTTGATTCTCTATACATCTGAATTGCGTTTTCTTGATGTCTTGCGAGACGAGAGTTATGACATTCTCCAGAAAATGAAGAACTACCAATATCAAAACTAATAAACAGCAAGATTTTACATATCTGGGGAGCATTTTTTTTTAGAAGCCGGAAGAATGAATAAAGAAATTCAGCAAAGATGCAATAAAGCCAATCAAGTTTTAGGCCAAATGACACCAATTTTGAAATGCAAGCATGCGAATATGAACACTAAAAGAACTCTTGTTTAACATAATATTCTTACCAAAGCTATGCTATCGACACAGTCAGCTAATAGTAACGACGCTTAGCGGTGCATTTTAACTAAATAAAAAGCTGACATAGACACATTCAAAATCGGTAACTGCTACAAACAGAACATCATCATCTACACAATTAAAAAAAAAAAATAAAAAAAAAAATAAGTGTCAGAAAGCTGTGCACAAACACGGGACAAGTCCAGCAGTGGCTTTCAGCTCACTGCGTTATCCAAAGAAATGCAAAGGCAGATACGCCCACGCGTATAGGCTAAAGAGAACCCAATACACCCTCAAGCTGCCTCACAGCTTTGAAACACCATGGATACTCTTACAACAATTTGAAGCTAAACTAGAGAAAAGACTACACACACTATTTTTTACGTAACCACATGTACACAAAATTCAAGATAGGTGTATCAGCCATGTGCACCTGTGGAAATGTGCCCCAGACAGCAAAGCATGTACTCCAGGACTGCACCGATTTTGACACATTAAGGCAAACCTCTTGGCCAGAAAGAACAACAGTGGAACGTAAACTCTATGGACCACTGAATGAACTAACAACGACAGTGAAATTTATACAAGAGACAAAACTGCTAATATAGACAACTTATTTCAGGCCAACGAAAGAAGAAGACTACACACAATTACAGATAACAGCATGCTATAAAAAGCAAGAAGAAAGACGATACAAACTTGATTTAAATAATTGCATCCGTGTGTTTGTTCGATTACTGAAATTATACTTTAAGGCAAGCAACAGACTCGAGAACTTGGTGACAACTGGCAAGACTGGGAGACATACGACTGGGGATATATATATATAGTATATATATATATATATATATATATATATATATATATATATATATATACACGCGCGCGCGCGCGCGCTCTTGATGCTCTCGCCACATGTATGGGGTGGAAAAAGGGCACTGACCTGATCCGTGATTTTACCTATCTTGTAGGTGGCGAATCATCTCTGTAATCGGCATGGCACGTTACACGATGATGATATTTCCATAAATAGTTTTTGTGTGTGTTGTTATTGTTCACTGATAACGGGGCAGTGGGTTTAACAAGTTTGAGAACTTGTGGTATAGATGTAAGCAAATTGAAAAATTTAATAAAAATTATGCTGGCTCAGTTGTTAGAAGGCTGCGAATTCATGCGGGAGACCCGGGTTCGACCCTCGGTAAGGGATACTGATTTTTTTTTCTACCGTAGATGTGAAGGCTTGCACAGTCCGTGGCGACTGCACTAGCCACGGGGCCCTAAATCCTCAGGGTCACTACCCCCTTACTGCACACTACCGAGTGTCTAGCCAAGTGGATTCAACCTTTTTCAGATGCCTCCTCCCCCTCCACCCAGGTCTTCTGAATATAAGGCAAGACCTCCACGCCCCCCCCTCTCCTGACTTAAAAAAAAAAAAATTCGATCAAAAAGAGGACAAACAGAAAACTTCCAAGTACTATTGACAAGAACTTTCAGAGAAACGTCCATAAATATCAGTTTTAAATACTATTATGCCCTTAGCGTTTTGTTTTCTATTGTTTGAAAATATAATTTATTTAAAATTAAATTAGAAACAAAAGTGTTTGAATAAAAGATTATTATTATAAGTAGAGATGAACTGAATTTTAAAACTGCTAGACGACCAATTTGAACCCCCCCCCCCCCCTCTTTAAAAAAAAGGGGGGGGGCGGTTACAGAGTTCGTCGTGGAAAGGTGGCTGGTTAGTTGCAAGATTAAGAAAAACAACAACAGAACAAACATCGGGCACCTAAAAAAGGGTTCCACCCCTAGAGTACAGCGAAGGTTTCCGAACGGCACGCAAAGAACCGAATGCAATACGCAGACAGATGGGTGAATGACACGGGTGACGCTAATCAAACACTGACCAACAATAAAATTACCGGCCTGGCGCCTCGTGTCAGCATTTTCTTCATGTTTAGAGAACTCTTGTCTTTACTTCATACAATCATAAAACCAGTTTCTCCAACAAGGGGTTGATTCTATCAATCGTCGATGCTTCATAAAAGTAGAGAGTAACAGACTGACGGGTGTGGCGTTTAAAAATCTCCTCACGCTCAAGAGTTCGACCAGATGTGAACTTACTATGTGACACGCAGAAAAGTGGACAGTTTGGGGGTGGTTGGGGGGGGGGGGGGGGACATCTATAGTCAGACAGATCAACAGACGGACAAACATATATTTATATATATATATACACACACACACACACACAGACAGACAGACGGACGGAAGGACGGAAGGACGGATGGACTGACCGACCGACCGACCGACCGACCGACCGACCGACCGACCGACCGACCGACCGACCGACCGACCGACCGACAGACAGACAGACAGACAGACAGACAGACAGACAGACAGACAGACAGACAGACAGACAGACAGACAGACAGACAGACAGACAGACAGACAGACAGATAGATAGATAGATAGATAGATAGATAGATAGATAGATAGATAGATAGATAGATAGATAGATAGATAGATAGATAGATAGATAGATAGATAGATAGATAGATAGATAGATAGATAGATAGATAGATAGATAGATAGATAGACAGACAGATAGATAGATAAGATAGATAGACAGAAAAAGAGAATGCACTAAAACCTAAACTACAGAATGCACTAACATCTAAACTATTCTCATCTACAGAAGCACCATGGTCAGTAGCAAAGGGACACACGCATCCATTCTTCTAGCACTCCTCCTCCTTGCCTTAGTCCAGTCTTCCTTATGTCAGAACTACCACTTCAGCAACGGCTGGTACCCCGGCAAGAAAAGATCCGCATCGCCATCTAGTGCCGTTGGCGACAGCGGTACCAGCAGCACACGAAGCGCCAGCAGCTACGTGGTCCCTTACGAAGACTCCTGTACTCTGTCGCCTGAAGCCGTTATGATCATCAACAGGATTGTGCTCGTAAGTTAGCTGTTCATCATCATTGTCCTGTTGTGCCATTTTATGTCAGATAAAACTCTATTACGCCATTCCGGTAAAACATGTGTAATCATTTCGATATCATGGACCTTTTGCCTCTCTCATCAACGTTAGTTTTATGATTTCCTTTGAAAGTCCCCACTTCCGCAATCCATTTATTTCCCATTTTAGTACCTGCCTAGTGATATGCTCTGCTCGTTTCTTCTCAGGATGTGTCCATTACACAGCCACCTTCTCTGTATTATAACTGTTCGTACCAGTGGTTGTCCAGACATTTCTCTTACTTCTACACCCTTCTTGTATTCATCCAATTTATATGTTCAACATTTCCCTAGTGCATGTTTTCAAATGCCGTTACAGTATGCTTTGTCATTATTCGGCTCTGTTCTGTTTTATCTGACCCGGTGTCAGATTAACTCCCTACGCAGTAAAGCAAACATAGCGGTGGAACAGCTAGCCACCCTCCCACAACATAAGAAGACAGTGCCGATTAAAAAAAAAAAAGACATTGGTGACAGGGTCGTCCACTGGCTTGCCGGTAGAAGACTTCGTCGCCGGTCGGGACAGTATTTGGGTCTGCCTCCTTTGATCGCATCCTTCTCATGGCTCTCGGAAGACCATTTTACCTATCTGGGTTCCACAGTGAATAGTAAACTATCGCTGGACCAAGAAATCAACACCAGGATAGGATAAGGCAGCAACAACAATGAGCAGATTGTCAGTGAGAGTTTGGGAGAACAGAAAGCTCACAATTAAAACAAAAACCCTTGTCAATCAGGCTTGTGTTCTCAGCACTCTGCTTTATGGCAGTAAAACTTGGTCAACCTATTTGCACCAAGAGAGACGAATAAATAGCTTTAACATGCGATGCCTAAGAAGAATACTTGGCATTAAGTGGCAGAACAAAATCACAAACACTGAGGTACTGGAAAGAGTAGGTACTACAACAGTCTTTCCATGCTCAGTCTACGAAGGCTCAGCTGGCTGGGTCACATCTGGAGAATGGAGGATGGCAGAGTCTTAAGGCCATCCTTTATCATCATCGTCACCACCAACATGTAGCACGTGTTCGCTACGTCCTACCACAGCACTCCGAAAAGCCACTCGGCGCGGCCAATGCAACCAGTCCTCTCTTGTAAACTTTTACGTCCAGCTTGTCTGTATGTGTTCATAATCCATCTCTGTTTCTTTTTCTATGATCTATATCCTCCATTCTAAGGCGCTGCGAACGCGCTTCGTAACGCCAGGGTGCCGGGTTCGATACCAGCTGCGGGCCCTGCGTTGGTTTCGACATTGGTATCGAGAAGCCGACCGTCCAGGAAAAGAAATTGCAAACTTATTCTTTCTTCTTCTGCCTTTCTATCCCCCAATGGAGCATAGGCCCTCGACCAACTCACGCCAAGTCGTTCTATGCTTCGCCATTGCATGGAGCTCTCCCCATGTCCTCCCCATCTTTCTAACTTCATTCTCCAGCTCTCTTCTCTATGTGTTTTTTGGCCTTCTTTTATTCCTATGCCCCTGTGGGTTCCAATGCAAAGACATTCTAGTTATGCTGTTCTCCTGTTTTCTCAGTGTGTGTCCTATCCAACGCCAGTGTCTTTTCCTCACCTCTTGGTCCACTGGAGCCTGTTTAGTTCTCTCCCAAAGTTCTACATTAGTTATTCTATCATACCATTTAATTCTCTCTATTCTGCACAGGCACTAGTTAATGAATGTCTGTAATTTATTAGTAATTGCCTTAGTTGTTCTCCATGTTTCCGCCCCATACAATAGTACTGATTTGACATTAAAATTAAAAAATATTTAGTTTAGTATTTCTTTTAATTTCTTTTGACCTCCACAAATTACCTAGTGCTATGAAAGCCCCTCTTGCCTTTTGTATTCTTATTTTAATATCTCTATCAGTTCCTACATCTTTACATTACTGCCCAAATAAGTGTACGACTCCACGTCTTGGAGTGGGGTGACATTAAAAGAAACCACATTACTATTTGCCTGATTTTTTTCTCATTATCTTTGTCTTTCCTTTATGGATTTTCAGACCAAGCTGCTGTGATCTCACATCAAGTATATTTAATTTATCTTGCATCTGATTCCGTGAATGGGTTAGAAGAGCAATATCATCAGCGAAGTCCAGATCATCAAGCTGTTTTGTAGGGGTGAATTCCATTCGTGGTGTTAGCAGTTACTGTTTTCATAATCCAGTCAATAGTCAGTAAAAATAAGAGAGGCGACAAAAGACATCGCAGTCGCACGCCTGTTTTTATTTCAAATGGATCTGTTAGCTTTCCCTCATGAAGAACTCGACATTTTATTTCTTTATATGTTGCCTTTACTAAGTTGATAATTTTCTGTGGGATTCCATAGTGCCCCATCAATTTCCAGAGAGATTCCATATCAATGCTGTCAAATGTTTTTTCATAGTCTATAAATCCAATGTAAAGTGGTGAGTTCAGTTCAATGCTTTGCTCTATTATAATACGTAATGTGACTGGACGTAAATTTCCCAGAAAAAACCAGAACAGCATAAAAGTGCTGGGATTTGTTCTGCAACGATATCCTCCATTACTGTCTGCCCCAGAGCAATATGGTTAGGTAGTTTAGTGCCTAACAAACTATCATCATCATCAATTTCTACTTCTACCATAAGCGCCGTGGGGAGGAACAGTTTGGGATCCATTACTAGATGGGCAGAAATTGGCGATTCCGTGTCCATTTAGAAGTTTTTTAAACATCATCAACCCATATTCTTTTAGGGCTACATCTTGACTTCACATTATTTCTTTTCATGTGTAGCGCCCGGGATGGTAGTCATTCTGGCTGCATTCTTAAAAGATGGCCGAACCATCTGATCTTCTGTTTCTCAATGAATTTGCTGCATGATGTTGCTCCCCAGTCTGTCTGATACTATCATTATAACTTTGTCGTGGATGGTTAAGTCGGGGGCTTTTCTCAGATATCTCGTTTCGCAGATGTTAATTGTACGTAGGTAAGCCTCTGATAAGGTTCAATCTCGCAGTGGTGGAACAGTGTTGGTATAAATAAGCTGTTGTTTCCTGGCGCTTATAATTATGTTTGGATATCTAAATAACGGTGTCAGTTGGTGCACAGAAACGATACTATCTAGAAATCAGATATGGTTACTAACCGCAAATTTGAAAAAAAAAAAAAAAAAAAAAAAAAAAAAAAAAAAAAAAAAAAAACTAACAATGAAAATTAGATGTTTGAGAAAGACTGCAGGAATGACCAGAAGAAATACAATCAGGAATGAAATCTGAACCTTTCAGTACCAATGAGCTCGCTCATACGTTGATACTATATATAGTACACATTTCTATAAGTTACCTATCTCATTCTTGCCTTATGTTAACTCCTTATTGTCCAGTTACCACTATAACACCTTGTCTCTCAGAGCTGTATAATTCAGCTCTATAAGACTAAAACACTGTTGCTCTAGGATACCTAACTTTAGCACAGACACTGTTGAGTTCAACACTATCCGGACCGAACTAGTTCAGAGAAAAGGTCAGCACAAAACCAGAACATGCAAAGATAGCCAATCAAATGGTTTTTACACTCAATGAGATTACAGTTAGACGCCAACCATACAAGATATATACCAACAGAGTATATGGACGTCAAGAAAACGTAGACCAAAAACAAAATGGAAAGATAACATCAGGAAAACTAAAAAAAAAACAAAAAAAAAACCAGTACTAGATAAATTTTCTATATATCAACCGACACTCAATGGGTGATATAGTCAACATCCCGTCGGCCACCTTTACTTCCCAGGACACTGCCGGGAATTCATCTAAAACTGGGTCGAGCTAGTAGTCAATGTCGATTTTCTGGTTTATTTGAAATGTGAATCCAATGCGTGAGTTATTTTAAATCTAAAACTAACACATGCAACAGACCACATCTTTTAGGTTGCGATATAAAGAAAGTGGGAGGAGACACCAGTGCTAGACTATGTGAAACAAATCAGCATGCCAGAGGGTTGGGTTACATAATACGATTACCGCACGACAGCGCCCACATAAATCTCTTGCGTATATACATAATATGTGTCGAGAATGAGGACGCAATGCAATAACTAGCTGATTAAATATCGCAGGTCGTGAATATAGATAGGCTCTGCAGGTGGCTCTGAAAATGTGAGCATTAATAGACAAAAGACACAAAACAATGGCGTAAGAAAAGGAAACAGTAGTAGTAGTAGAAGAAGAAGAAGAAGAAGAAGAAGAAGAAGAAGAAGAAGAAGAAGAAGAAGAAGAACTAGAAGAACAAAGAAAGAAAGAAAGAAAGAAAGAAAGAAAGAAAGAAAGAAAGAAAGAAAGAAAGAAAGAAAGAAAGAAAGAAAGAAAGAAAGAAAGAAAGAAAGAAAGAAAGAAAGAAAGAAAGAAAGAAAAGAAAGAAAAAAAGAAAGAAAGAAAGAAAGAAAGAAAGAAAGAAAGAAAGAAAGAAAGAAAGAAAGAAAGAAAGAAAGAAAGAAAGAAAGAAAGAAAGAAAGAAAGAAGAAGAAAAAGACACTTTTCTACACTGGACAGCCTTCGATATCCCAGCACTGTCCAACATTTCTTCCTCCAAAAGGACACCAAGAGAGAAAAAAAAGTTAGTTGTGTATCGTTTACAGGACGTTGCAGAACCAAACCCAGCATTTTTTGGCTGTTGTGGCTTTCCTCGGCAAAGTTTACGTTAGGCAGTTTGCCACTGCTTACTGAACGGTCAGCTTTCGATATCACACTCGAAACCAAAGCAAAACAAATCATCCGCAGGTGGGATTGAACCCGGCACCACGAAGCTCGTTTGCAACGCCCGCCTAAGCCACAGACGCCGACAACAGAACACAGACCCAGACTGGACCAATTTTATGCGAAGAACATGACTTTTCTAAAGAAAAAGAAAGTAGACCCCTTTTTGCTTATCGCCATATGCACTAACTCCTAGTGGTTGATTTCCTAATGTTAAACACTAGT